TACTCCTTAAATTTCATTCTTAGTTTTCGGTTGTTCAGGCCGAAGCTTGACAAGCTGCAAATTCAAAAGCTTTGCGCTCATTTGTTGCCGCATCATCTCCACTCTTTAGACGATTTGGAAGAATAATTATTCACGCCCGACAATGGTCAAGGTTCATGATAACTTCTTTCCTTCTATTTTGAACGCAAAAGCATGTCATTCTTTAAGCCACTGATTAACGTCGGCTGCAAGATTTCTGGTATATATATAAACCCATTTTCTCTCTATTTCACGTGGTTGCAAGTTCGAATTTGCTAATCTACCTCTTATATGTTTTGCGCTTAGGTTCATTTTCAGAATTTCATTCGTTTTGAGAACTCAAAATCCTTAGCTTCTGAATCGAGACCATGCTGCAATTTAGACACTTACACCATGTCGTAGAGCCAGCGTCGTCCATGAAAAGTAACCATAAAAAATATGTCATTTTGTGTTCATAGTATTCATGATTCCGCCCACAATCTCTTCAAGGTGATATTCTCTTGAATCTATCTATTATAGTGATTTACATATGTTTCTGTCTCACATAGGGTTCATATGCTAACCTAATCTAATCTCCATATTTTGTGAAAATCGACATGCGCTGAAATTGGCCATCGTTAAACTTTCTTTTAAGTTCTCTTTGAGCATCTACTTACTTTTAGTTATATAACGACAAATCCCTATAAGCGGTGGTAGATAATCCTCCGAAGAAGCACGTCCCCCGTGGGTAGCTCACTAGCTTATAATTCACCGTATAAATAAGATAATGTCCATTGAAATGAGGAAACTGACAATTACTTATTGGAGTCCAGTTTACTATAAATTGGTGATTACCTCCCCTAGCCAATTTATGACAGATCATGGTGATCTCTTTCACAACATGATTATTAGATGACAACAGCTACAAATACGATACAACTTTACATAATTTTATAACTTGGAAAATATAGTTTCTTGATTCTTTAACCTTTATTTTGTAAGTACATCATGAAACAAAGCAAAGAACAAAAAGTTTCTAAGGAATTTTTGCAGAGCCCTCGACATTTTTCTTCTCGCTTAAAACCTTGTGCATGGTGAAATATTTTCTTTCGCAAAAAATCCTCTTATCATTTTCTTTTTCATAAATACTACCTTAGTTAAGAATTGAAACTTGAAAAATACATTGGTTTTTAATTTTCCTGAAGAGAGCACGTTATTCAGATATAATCAACTTATCATTTTCATCACATCAAGTTAGGAAGTTGGTGGAAGCCAAAAAAGAAGAATAATATAAATAACAAATTTGTGGAAGCTTATTGTATTTAATCGGTTTCATCTCTCTTACATAACTATTTCCTCATCTAAGATCTCCATTCAATAAAACTTTTGTTTGATATTGGATTTTTTGGGGATCATGAAGATGAGTCTATCTATGTTTAGAATCATATATATTAATTAGTTGTCCATAGTCCAGTGTCATTAGAACAGAGCTAGGTGGATTCGATCAGACTTGAGGTTAAATGTGTGAGTTTGTTTACCATAGAGTGATATGTTAGAGAGACATCATCCCCTCCCATCCGTATCCAGGACAAACTGATATATGAATGCATATACAACTAATTACAATTCCAATAAAGATACAAATTTGATTATTGCATTGTTTAATTTTCATAACTGTTTCAATTTCTCTAAGTTACTGAATGATATGGTTCGACTTTGTTCTATCAATTGGATTTGGCTTTGTTCATTTTACCAATGTGCTTGTAAAACTAAGTTAATTTACGAAGCCAGAGTACCGTATTGATGAATGATGAAACAAAAATATTGATCTCATTTGTAACTGCAAAACCAGAATCTATATAAAATGGTGTGAACTCATATCCTTTCATTTTAAAAGTAGATGGAAAACAGCTTTTTAAATGCACATATACAAACCAAACAATATAATATTTTGAGCAGAAATTGTTAAATTTAAAGGATGTATTGGATAAGGAATTTCAGAAGATTTGGTGGTTGTTTTAAAAATCCCTGTTATTAAAGTAGTGATTTCTAAATGTCTTACCAAAACTGATGTTATTGAACATAAAATTTATGTAAAACTAACTAAAGTCATTTAAAAATTCATGTTATTGAATCAACAATTTAAAAAAACTAAATCAAATCCACTGTTATTGAAAATATTTTGAATAGTAGATTTTAAAAAATATTGTGTACTTTTAAATGATTTGTTGGAGTTTGATAGTTAAAAAATATAGGAAACCAAATCTCATTGTTTTAGTTGGGATTTCATATAATTTTAATATCAAATCATATCAACTTTTTCAATCCACATAATATCATCTAAAATTTTATTAAAATTCAAATTTTATCAAATTTTTAAAAATTTCAGTTCAATACACCCTTAATGTCTCAAATCTAGCCTTAAACAAAAAATAGATATATGTATCTATTTTAATGTACATGTTGATGACATAACCACCAATACAATTCCAAACCAGCTAAACTGTAAAAAGTTAACAAAAATTCTATATAGAAATATATTTGATTTTTACTATATTTCTTAAAAAAAAAGACATAAGTATTGTAAAATTCAAAGTCTCCTTACAGCAAGTAACATAACTAAAATTTTGTGAAATAGTTTCGACTAAAATTTCAAAATTTTGATTATTTGAACTACCTAATTGCCTTATAAATAACTTTTTTGGTATGCATGAAATGTATAAAAGGGAAAATCAATACAACAAAAATCATTATAAGTCGAAACAATTTAAGATAAAACAAAAAAAAGCATAGATTAATCATGTATTTGAGTTTGTTATTGTGTATTCGAGAACTTGTGTTATTTTGCTTATAAATTTTAAAATTGTCTCCCATAAAGGATCATATTTTGGAAGAATTTATGTTTTAAGTGCTTAAAAACAAATGTGTTATACAAATTTATAATCATTCGAGTACATATAACAGCAAAAACATTTATCAAATGTTATTTTATCAAAATTTAACATTTATCCAAAAAGTTACAAACATATATATATATTTACATTAACTTTTATTCTTGTTGCTATACATAATTTTTATCATTAAAACTGATTATATTGAACTAGGTGTTTCCCTGGATCTTGTGCGGGGTTCGATTAATTTTTTTAAAAAGTATAACATTATTTTATTTATAGATAAAAAAATCAGATTTTATAATGATTCGAAACCAAATTTAATATATTTAAAAAAAATAAAATCATTGTTTTTTTGTGACAAAGCTTAATATATTATTTATATCTTATTTTTAATATTTTTTATATTATCTGATAAAAACTTATAAGTATGCATTGTTGTTTTATTGCATTTATCAAACATGATAAATAATTCTCTTCTTTTGATGTAAATTGGTAGATTAAGATTAATGAAATTCAAAATTTGCATTAAAAAAAACATAGCAATCCAAAATAATTAAAACTAAAGGATCCTTGTTTCACATAAACTTAATATTAATTAATATATATATAGAGTTTTAAAAGGATTTAAATGATTTAGAGTTTTACTTATGATCGCATAAATCAATTAGGTTAGTCAAAATATTAGTAGGTTAAACAATCAAATTAAAATTAGTGTACTAAAATAATTAGGATTTTTTTATTTATTCTAGTTATTTTTTTTAGTAATTTGTATATTTTTATGATTTAAACTTGAATTTGGAAATCTAGATTTAAAATAAAAACAAAAATTAATTAAAAATTAGATTATATTAATTTGTTAATTTTATTAAAGGTAATTAAAGTAAATTTACATAAAGGCCAAAGGTAATGGTGGAGTTATGCAGCACAACACGTGCTAGAAGTAATCTAACACTGGGAAGTTACATGATTTAACAATAATCATCGTGAAACACAAGTACGACGACTGTAATAAAACTTCAAGGAGCGGAGACTTGTAAAGCAAGAAAGGCAATAAATAAGTAGAAAGTAGTTAAACAAAACAAAAATGTAGAAAAAGAAGTTAAACCTTGTTCATGCATGGTTCTCACTTTGATCTCAGAAACAAACTACAAAAAATTTGTCGAAGGTTTGCAGATTTTACTGATTTATAAAGTTACCAAACTCAGTGTAGTCACTATCCATTATCATAGTCTGGTACCACGGTTTCCCTGCTGTTTTGATCTTGGCTGATTCGGTGATTCCTCCTGCAAGACACAATAATTATGAACCAGATCATATACACCAAAGATTTTAAGCTCATGAAGTTCTAAAAATCCCTAAGAAAACCAATAACAACCAAAGAAAGCCAGTGAATCTTAACCAGAGAAAATCAGAATCCAGTAGATAAACCGATCGATAAGGAGGAGCAAATCATGAATCTATTAAGAGATGAGAAGCAAAGTTACCACCTTTGAAATGGGTTTCCTCTTCCTCTCAAGCTTCTCCTTTTTAGACTTTAAGCCAATAGAGACATCATTCTCATAGTCTTGGCATAAGGATTAAGCTAGCTTCAACATCACATTCAAGTTCTTAAGAGGCTTCTGCTTCAACACAGCTCTCTTCGCATCCTTCTTAATTGGTCTCGCATCCTTCTTAATTGGTCTAACCACACACTCTGAACCTCACCAAAATTGATAGTCCTAGCAAGATCAGCATTACTTACGGTCGCTGCAAATATGGCGGATACACTTAGCTATGGATGGATGTGTGCATTTTGCAACCATTACCAGTCATCAAGCCTTAGATATCGTCAATCATTTGCTAATTCAGAGTCATAAGAGATGTATGGGTTATTTGCACACAGAAAAAGAGATGTATGGGTAATTACCAAAGCTCAAAAAGATATGGAGTTGTGGAATCTAGAGAATGATATTATAACTGAATGGAAGAATGCATCTTTAATGAGTAAAAAGCAAAAAAAAAAAGTTCTATTTGATAAAAGACACACATGCCTTTTCCTTTGTAGAAATTAAAGACAGTCATGGTCATAAATCTTGAGAGATTCAAACATAATGGTTGGTTACTTGTGTCTTAACGATTTTCTCTCTCGTCTTCTGCTGCATGACGGTCGTCTGGTGCTAGATTTTCCCCAGGCATGGGTTGATTTGGCGAACAAGGACACATCTCTACCTCATTGATATACGAAACATTGTCAGGTTGGTGAAAGATTTGCCACAAACCATTCTCTTCTCTATTCTCCCACAGGAAACAGACTGTGAACTTGCCGAGTGTTAGAACGCACATAACAAACGCAATAAGAAACAGAAGCCAGAAACTGTCTAGGCCAAGCTGTCTAGAGGTAAAAGATGGATTTGGATCTGGATTCGTGACTGGATCTGGACAACTTTCTTCTTTCTTCTTGAACCATGCCCTCTCAAGCTCCATTGCCTTTGGTGACTCTGCAACTTTTAAGATAGCCCTTGAAACATCAGCAACCAAAGGTGATCCGATTGGAAAAACCTGGGATAAAAGAGACTTATGAGTCACATGATCTCACCACCATATAATGCAAGTTTTGTTATGAGCACTTACAAAGCCAAATCCATCAACGTTGAAAGGTTCTTCAACCATTTTATAAGTGTTGCAGTATTGTCCAAGAAAGAGTCTCAAGTAAGGTATTTCCAAGAAAGTTGCAGAGACACCTCCTTTTTTGGGTCCTTTCTTCAGAAGTGCATCGCATTCTTCTGCAGTATCAAAGGGAACAAGGCTAGACTGTGAGAAACCTGCTTCTTTAAGCTTTCCAAGGATGAATGATGTTCTCTGATAACCAACTGTTTCTCCTCTCTCAAGCAAGCTACTCATGCTGGTTATAGTTGGATTTAGTTGCTGTGATGTCAAAAGAGACGCCAAGCTAGCTGTGTAGCTCTGAGTCAACACAAGAACGATGAAGTACCATGTGATAACCAGAAGCCTAGCTCCAAAGCTGAACACTCTTTCTCCTGCAAACCGCAAGTCAAGCATTAAGGGAAGTGATAGATACATATATATATATATAACAGAACACTCACTATATGTTCTAATGTAGAAAGGGAGATTGAATTTACTTGGAGCAAAAACCATGGTAGAGAAAGCAAACCAGAAGATGGTACTAGCTTGGTAATTAGCCGGTCCACGGAAGTCCGGATTAACTCTATGTTCAACAGCCCAAACAGTAAAGCCAATAAGGAAGAAGAAGACAAAAGAAGTCAACCATAGTTTCCATGACAAAGGCTTCAAGAAACTGAATTTGTCTCTCTTCACTAAGTCTTCCATTGGGACGATCAGTCCCACGCCTGATTTAACGAACGGAAATGTGAAATCGACATAAGAGGACCTATTCGCCAGTATTGTAGTATCTCCCACAACTGCATCATATCTCTGCAATAACAGAGACAAGAAAACAGGAGTTGGTTTTGTTACAATTCTTTTAAGAAATGGTTAGTGTAATGATCTTACTCACCCCGAGGTACACTTGGTGGACCAAGTCATTGTAGTTACCGGCTGCTTTACCATCGGGTGTCTCGAAAGGAAAGAATTCATAGGAGACGTCATAAGGCATTGCTCCAATCACAGCCTGAAAGAAATCTATGCAGAAGCCTGTGACTACTGGTGAATCGGTGATAGGATCCCTTGTGACCTTCACGAGATCCGTGTAACCGGTTCTCTTTGGGACTCCTATGCGCAGCTTCTTCCCGTTCGTCGGTATCTCCCATCCTTTTGGAACAGAATCAGCTTCTCCAGGCCATATAACATGCTTAAGATGATCTTTCCAAGTAGATAAAGCGCTCTTGCTCTGAGGTTGCTGGTTTAGTTTCTTCACTAGACCATTTTCTTCTGTCCAGAAACCTACTGATCTTTCTCCGGTTCCGACCACGTTAACAATCTCGAACACTGATGGTTGCAGTTGCCCGTTGACAAAGCGGAAATCCTCTACAAGTCCTTCGAACTGAACTCTCGAGAGTGTCTGGAGAAGCTTTGGACCGTATTGAGATAAACCAAGAGCTTCAAGTTCTGACACATTTCTCCCAACATTCGCATTACTGAAAGTCAAGTTCTTTGTTCCAGCTTCTTCAATGGCTATCGCCAGTGCGGTGATAGCATCATAAGCCCATAATCCATAGACACTCAGCTCCAACCGTGGGAATCTCTTTCTCCATCGAGCTTTAAACTTGTCAAGATCTTTAGATTTCTGAATGTAAGTCTTGATACCTATTACTCCCTCCATAGCCTCGATTCCAATCTCGTCTATCAAACTTAAATCATCGGTAACTCCATTAGTAAGGATCCAAACGTATCCCGGTTTCATCAAACCAATCTCCTTAGCTTTAATGAAGAATCTTGTGGCAAGAGCAGTGTACATGTGGACAATAAAGACTCTTGTTGGCATGGTCATCATCTTAAGAAGCTCCACAGAGATTTCATCATCCGTTGCATTGCGAGCGATAACGGATCTATAAGGTATCCGGACGTTGATCTCTTGTAACGCATCGGTGAGACGAGGCATTATACCTTCTCCAAAAGTGTTGTCGATGTAAACAGGAACGGCTTCTCTCCATCCAAACAACTTGATGATAGCTTTGATGGCGTTTACTTGAAAAGAGTCTTCGTAGGTTGCACGAAAGAAGTATGGACTACGGAGAGAAGTAAGAAATGGGCTTGTTGCAGAGTAGGAAACAAGCGGAACCTGTGATTTTTGGCTAATTTCGATCATGAAATGAGCTTGCATAGATGTCCATGGCCCTACAATCGCTTTCACTTGCTTGTTCTTTATCAACTCAAGAGCTGTGACAATGTCAAAACCAAGAAAATTCAGGTGGAGTCTGTGAAGAATTGAATGAGAACAGAGTTTGTTTAATTCGATGAGGATCATGTTATATGTATATACATTGTGATAGGAACATATGTGTATATGTTGTTGACTTGGAAAGAGAGAGAGAGTACCTGCAGCTGCAGCACCAACGACGTCGTCTTTGGAGTCACCGATGGTGACGACAAGCCTTGTCTGAAACTGGGGACGAGAAGAATAGAAATCGGAAAGAGACAAGTTGATGCAGAGCATTTCGATGTTCGAATGCATTATCCCAACATCTGTTACAACACCAACATTGACTTCGGTTCTTCTGTTGTTCTGTCCTCTGCTTACTTCCACCAAGAAGAAGAAACAGAACAAAACGAAGAAGGAAAGCCACTTGTTTCTCATTTGGTGTTTTGAAAATGTGTTTCAAGCATGAGAAGTGATGAATAAACCATTGATCTCTATGCATGTTTTATATAGTAAACTTTTGATTAGCTGTTGAAATTATTATTTCAGTTGCAAACTGCATCAAGACCAAATCCGAACAAGCATCAGATATGATAAAAGATAAGGGTCAAATACAATTTTAAAGCTAGTGGCCATTTCTAAACCAAAATTTTCTGTTTTAAGCAAGTTTCGTAGGAAACGACTTAGCATTCAATACTGTATTAAAATGTAACTTCTTGTATGTGTTCGACCAAAACTTTAAGCACGTCGTAATGAACTTTATCTTCTAATTTACTTTATTAAAAATGAACTACTTGATTGAAAGTGACATAAATTATTTATCTCATTGACCTGCTCAGTTATTTCGATTATACGAAAGTCAAGTAATAAGATAATAATGATAATAATAATATAATGTGAGAGTTTGTGTTAAAAAGAATGTAACACTGGGCAAATTAATCGATTTAACATGACAATTTATCATGGTAAAACACAAGAACGAGATAAAAAAAAACAAGGAAAAAGAAGTAAAACCTTGTTCATAGATCTAACTTTTTGATCTCAGAAACAGAGAAAAAACCCCAAAAACCCAAAAAAAGTTATCTAAAGTTGCAAGTTTTACTGTTCGACACCGAGCCACTTGGTGAAGTTATCAAACTCTGTGTAGTCACTATCCGATATCATAGTCTGGTACCAAGCTTTTCCTGCTGCTTTGATCTTGGCTGATTCCTCCTGAAAGACAAAAAAAAAGTTCAGAAACAAACATCAATGACACAATCCAGATCAAATACACCATAGATTCTAAGCTCATCAAGTCTAAACAATCCCAAAGATTCCTAATAACAACCAAAGAAAGCAAGTGAATTATGAATCTCTAAGAAAAAAGAGGAGAAAAGATGATACCTTTGTGATGGGTTTCCTCTTCCTCTCGAGCTTCTCCTTCTTGGACTTAACCCTCTCAGCTTCCGCCAACAGAGACATCCTTTTCGCAGTCTTCGCATAAGGGTTAAGCTTCAACATCACATTCAAGTTCTTGAGAGGATTCTTCTTCAACACAGCTCTCTTCGCATCTTTCTCAATAGGTCTAACCACACTCTGCACCTCATCAGAGTTAATAATCCTCGCGAGATCAGCATTAACCATCTTAGGACGAGGCAAAACGTATCCTTTCTTCATCTCCGACGCCTTCTCAAACGAACCATACACAGATTCCAACTTCTCAAAAGCCGATTTAGTCCACACAACGAATCTTCCCAAGTGACCACCAGGAGCTAATTTAAGCAGACTCAACCTCTCAACATAACACAGATCAATCCCAGGAATGTTCCTAAACGCCTTCACTAACTTAGCTCCTTCATTTCCATAAACAATCAAAGGACCTTTACGAGAAATGTACCTACGGTTCCTCATTTTACCTACACCAGACCTAATCCCAATACTATCCTTAGCCTTCTCAGCGTCAGGGAAAGCACCGATCTGCTGCAAAACGTTGATCGCATCGCTCGTCTTCTCCACAGACTCGGCCGAATCACTAATCACTAACGGCAACTCCGGGATACTCTCGATCCGGTGACCACGAGCCATAACGAGAGCAGGAACGGAGGTCGCGGCGATCGCGGAGACGATCGCGTGTCTTTTCAAATTGACATTGACGCGACGGTGCCAGCGACGATAGGGCTTAGTTGGAGCAAACATTCGACCACCGCGACACATGTTTCCGAACGCCGCTTGACCTGCGCGGTGAGTACCGCCCCCGGGAACACGAGGGATACGAGATACAGCACGTCCTGTACCCCAAGACTCGGCGGAGGTCTGGTGACCGGCACGCTTCGAGACGGCGTATGGTTGCCGACTGTTGTTCGAGATCTGAGCGTGGACATGGTTCACGACGTCGGGGCGAACCGGCGCTTTCATTACATCGGGGAGAGGTAAAGTTGTGGCTTGATCTGTGCTCGTATCACCTGCCAGTGATTGGACGGTGACTAGAGGGCGAACGGCACCGGCGGCCATTTTCGCTGAGAAAGGAAAAGTGTGGGGATTTTTGAAGGGTTTTGCCGGCGAAGAAGAGAAATTTCGAAGCTTAACGTTTATATCAGTGTGAGAGGTCTAATGTAGGGTTTTCTCAAGGGTGTTTTCGTAACAGCAAGAAAATATAATCATGTTGTTTTGGGCTTATATTTTTTATTTAAATGGGGTTCCAAATTACACCCACAAAAACAAGTACAAATAAAAATGGGCTTCAAAATGTGACACCCTTCGTGATGATTACGATAATCATTTGGTGCCATGCAGGCCCGTTGACTATTGACCGAAAGTGGAGAAGCAGGAGAGAAGCTGTTATAACAGCTCGACTTTCTTCGTCCTCTTTATGCGATTAGCTATTGTTATACTTTGTGGATTTCTTTGTAAAACTAAAGAAAGCTCATAGTGAATTTCAAGAAAGATTCTGAAGAGACGTACTTGATTATGGGAAACTGTATAAAACTTATGTCATTTTTCCTTTCTTTACCGAGAGAGAGAGAGAGAGAGAGTTGCACCTGGATCAGAGATTGATCAAAGACGTATCGGCTACAAGTTGAGTAAGTTAGAAACGTTCAAGTGATATAAAGACGATCAGATCATGAGGTTCGAGGTGTCAACAAGGATCGGATTTTACCGATTCAAGGAGAGGGCAATCGCGAAGCTTCACAGACCTTTGGTGAAGCGGATCGGATCATCTAAAGAAGGATTAGTCATCATCGATCATCAAATTCAGGGAATTTTTTTGTTCTGTAACACTTGTGTTACACTCCACATGATTTCATAGATTTACTTCTTAAATAGTCTTGATCACATGAATTTGTTTGGATTATATTTGATATATTATAGTTTTATGGTATAAGTCCTTTTTATTGAGTTTTTGTTTTTGTTTTTTTAGAGTCATAGTAGTCTTTGCAGGTTATAGCATGACTGAAGCACAATTGGAAGTTTTGGAGCTTTTTGGAGCATTGCAAGATTAAACCACGAAGTTAGCAACTCAGAAGGCATCGATTGGCATTGGTGACGATCGTCACCACTCAAGGGTGACGCTCGTCACCCGCATCTGAAGAGGAGTCGTGACTTAAATTAAAAGATGGAGATGAAATTGCACTTTTGTCCCAGAAATTCTGCTATTTGCAAGAAGACTCCAACTCGTGTTTTAACTTGTATATATTAGGCTTTTAGCCATTGTTGGCTTTTATCTTAGATCTTAGAATTCAAAGGGCTTTATAGAGAGTTTTATTCAGAGCTTTTGGGGAAACATATCATGTGTTCTTTTAGAGAAGATTTCGATCCCCTATATCTTTTACTCTATTCTTATAATGCAGTTTTATTCAGTTATGTTTTGAGTCTTCATGATCATGTCTGAGTAATCTGTTAGTTAAGTTAGGCTTTTTCAAATGTTAATGAAGAGTTTGTAGAATTGCTAAACTGTCTGGAAATCCATTGGTACTTCATCTATACTTGCATTCATATCGAATTTATGAGACTAATCATCTATACTTCGAAACCCTAGGTTGTTTAATAGATGTGAGAACATTGTTAATCACCTGAACTAGTATTAGATGAGCAAAACGCCTATTTGCAAAGAGATTTGACTTAAGAGTTTTGTGAACAATCGAAACCTGATCTTTAATGCTTGCTTAACTTGTTAGAATTTGCAAAGAGATTTGGAATTATGTGAATTATGCATAGATAACTTCTGCAATGAGAACTGATTAGTTATATCATTGAGTTTTGAGTTCAAGACGGTTTTAAATCATTCCTACTTGCATGCATTCTACATTCTCGGATTCAACCTGCGAATTGTCCTGACTTAGCGCTTTTAGTTTTCTGAACCTTAGATCAAATTAACAAATCGCATGCTTTCATTACTATAGTTATTTCACATTACATTCACTCATTATTGCTTAGCTTAATCCAAATCTATAATCGCTAGTGTAGTAAGTTTACTCCCTTGGCATTCGATAACCTTTTTTATGCTACAACTGCTTTGTTGTGCACTTGCAGTAATTAGTTAATTGGATAAAACCTGAGCCATATCAATATTGCTACTGATTTCTTTCTTTTTTTGCTTGTGGTGTTATCTGCAAGTAGAGGTTAAACAAAGAAAAGGATCAGTGAAGGAATCGACACAAGGACAGTTTGAGATGGAGAAGTTTGACGGAAAGGGGAACTTCGGGATGTGGAAATACAGATTCCTCAGTGAGCAGGAGATTCAGGGTCCATGATCAGTTTTGATGGAAACGACTTCAGCATCAGAGTCGTCAACCTCTAAGACGATAACACCAGGGGGTGTAGCATCTCCGATTATAACGCCAAGCAAGGTTAAACTGGGGCTATCATCCATTGACAAGGATCTGAAATTTGATCCAAAGAAAGCAGATAAAGATTTAAGGGTCAGAAATCTGTTAGGTACATGTTTCACTGAAATTTTTTTAAAGAAAATCATACATGAACCTACTGAAATGGATATGTGGAAGGCATTGGAAAGAGATTATTAGACGATGTCTTTACCAAACAGAGTCTACCTAAAGCAAAGTTTTGTTAGTTTTAAGATGGAAGAGAATCGCTCCATTGAAGAAAACTTGGATATATACTTTCTTGAAGCGCATTGCTAATTTAGCAAGCATGGAGATCACAATCCGCGAGGATGAACAATCCATTCAGCTCCTGACAGGTCTCCCACCACTGTATGAGCCATTGGTTTATGGCTCGAGGAAGGAGACATTGACTTTAGCAGAAGTCACAGCATTTGTATATTAAAAAGAAGCAGAGTTAAGGTCAAAGGGACTTCTAAACAAATCAAAGCAAGGGGCTGAAGAGTTGTATGTTGAAGAGCGTGGAATGTCTGAGAAGAGAAGTAACCACAGAAATAACAACAACAGCAAAGGAAAAGGTCGTGGAAACAGAAAACACAGGTCTAACTCGAAAAACAAGTTTTGATCTAAGGCATGTTGGACATGTGGTGATGAGAATTATTGGAAGAAATACTGTCCACAATGAAAAGAAAAATCTAACAATTCGGCTAATGTGAAAGTCAAACTTTCAGAACCTATAGCTCTAGCAGCAAGACTACATGCAACATAAAATAAGTGGGTTCTAGACTCCGGGTGTACGTTTCACATCACACTAAGGAAAGATTTGTTATCTGATTTTGAGGAATATGACAAACACAAAGTCCTTATGGGGAACAATACTTTGTGAAGAGATTGGAAAAGATGACCATAGACAATCCATACAGCTTAGTGGTGATTCTCAGGAACGTGAGGTATATGCCTGACATGGACAGAAACCTCATATCCTATGGCCAGCTCGAGCAGTCTGGTTGCAAGTACAATGGTGAAGACTTCTCAGTGGTTTTCTACAAGGACAGTAAGAAAGTGTTATCAGGGAAGTATGAACAGGGTCTGTATTATCTACAAGGAAATGTTAGAGAAACACATGCAAACATTGCAAGAGTACATGTTGACATGACAAGGAAGTGGCACCCCCGTCTGGCTCATATGAGTCAATCTTCAATGGAAACCTTGGCCAGAAAGGGGTATTTGAAGAAGGGAGGTATCAAGAACCTTGGTTTCTGTGAACTCTGTACAATAGGAAATTCGCATAAGAAAAGCTTTCCAAAAGGGAAACATACGACTAAGGAGATTTTAGGCTACGCTCACTCAGATATGTAGGGTACGCCTAATGTCACTCCTAGTCTATCAGAGAACAAATACTTCTTGACATTCATTGACGACTACTCGAAGACAAAGGATGGAGCTTACCAGAACTTAGTGGGCTGAAAGACACCGGTGGAGAATTAAACTAGAAAGAACCTGACATGTTTAAATACAGATAACGGATTACAGTTCTACAACAATCAGTTTGATAATTTGTACTAAGAGTCAGGGACAAAGAAGCAAAAAATGTGTCCCTATAAACCTCAACAAAACAGTATTTTCAGAAAGAACGAACATGACTATCATGGACAACTCAGAAGCATGTTAAGTGAAACAGGCTTGGGTGGAGAATTTTGGGCAAAAGCGTCACAAAAGGGGTTTGCATTTTCAACAGGTCACCGTCTGCATCTATTGAGTTTGAGGTTCCCGAGGCTCTATGAACAGGGAACCTGAGTATGGACATCTCAGGAGAATTTAGTTGTATGGCTTATGTTCACACAATTCAAGACAAGATAAGTCCTAGAACAACTAAAGGAGAGTTTGGAGGGTATTCACAAGGGACTAAGGGCTACAGATTTTGGCTACTAGAGGATCAGAAGATTACTATTAGCAAGGATGTCATATTTCACGATGAAAGATTTTTCAAAGACAAAGATTCAGTCATGAGTACATCTACATCCATAGAAGTGGTAAAGACCAAGAATAAAATTACCTTAAAGTACGTCTTGGAAGAGTTAGAGCTCTCGCAGTACACACCAGGGAAATCTTCAAGTAATGGTGGAGCTACGTCAGAATCTGAGTCGGAATAAGAAGAAAATATGAGTTCATCAAAAGAAGAGTATGAGGATCAGAAAAGTCAGACAGACCAAGATGAGCAAGAGAGTCAAGAAATTGATATGAGGGTCTTTCACTGCTCCGATTGGATCCATCATCTTCTGGGTTAATCAATATTTGTAGTTCGATTTGGAGATTTTTCTTTTGGGCCTCTTCTTACTTTATTCATGACCATTTTTTTTCGTTGAATCAACTTCTTCTTTGCTTCCATTGGATTTTCGCTGAAATTGATCTAAGGATCTTTGCATGTGTTGGATGAAACAGGTGATGTCCATGCGGCTACAACTAAGGATGTGGAGGTTGCAGTCAAAGCTAGCATTTTTAAGGAATAAAGGAAAAGATTGCGCCAAAGCACCAGGAGCTCTTGGTGCAAAGTATTTGCGTGTTATTGCTGCTAAGGTGTTCATTTTTTATGTATGTGATTTTGGTTGGTATATGTTCATGCCTTGGTATAATCAGCTTAATGTTGTGATATATCTAGGTAACAGAGAGGAAGATGCATCTGACCAAGCTCGAGGCGATTGATTGTGGTAAACCATTGAATGAAACAGTTTGGGATATGGTACTTTTTCTTATACTTTGGTAAATGTCGGATTTTTCTTCCCAAGCTTCATCTTAATATAATTTTCTGATGTGTGATGTTGTCGCTGTATGTTTTGAATATTCTGCTGACCTTGCTGAAGGATTAGATGCTAAACAGAAAGCACCAGTCTCGCTTTTCATGGAGAGTTTTAAGATTTATGTTCTGAAGCAAGCTATTGGTGTTGTGGGACTGATTACACCATGGTAACTCTCATTATTAGCCATTAGTTTTATTTTTTTGTTTTGTTTGTAAATCTCATATGAGTAGATACTGAGTCTTGGAACCTGGTTTGATGTTTGAAGGAATTACCTGCTTTTGATGTCTGTTTGGAAGGTGGCTCCTTCACTTACTGCAGGGTTCACCGCGGTTCTCTAATCATGAGAGCTGGCATCAGTGTAAGTAGCTATGTATAATATTTTTCCTTGTTATGCTCTCATTGGTCCTCTTTGAGCTCTCATTTGTGTCATGGTTTATAACTTCAGCACTTGTTTGAGGCTTGCTGATATTTGTCGAGAAGTTGGTCTTCCTCCTGGTGTCCTCAACGTTCTGACTAGATTAGGTTTAGAAGCTGGGGCTCCTTTGGCATCACATCCCAATGTGGATAAGGTGAATTGGTCTTTGAGACATACATTAGACTTAATACAATTGACTAAAAAGGCTATTGATCACTATTTTTAGAAACTAAAATGCAAAATTCATGGTTCTAGGCAGATTGCGTTTACTGGAAACTTTGCCACAGGAAGCAAGGTCATGACAACTACTGCTCAGTTGGTGAGGGTAATTAAAATTTCTGAAAATCTGCTATTTAATTATTTGCTCCTATTTTGTTTCATCAAACAATGTTAGTGACACATTAAATTATCTGTTAGATTTGATTCGATCCGCTATTTGCTTCGATTCGATTTGAAAAATTCGGATATCCGTAGTTTTACGGAGCAAAGCAGATACTAAATTTTGATATCCGTTAAAAACGGAGCAAATCACAAATATTAAAATTTTAAGAGCCGGATATCCGATCCGCTCCGATATACATATATATATATATATATACATAAATAATTACATATAAAATGTATAGTTAATATATTTATATGTAAATTTTTGTGAATTTCTAGTTGTTTTATTAGTTATTTTAATACAAAAAAATTAATAAATTTAAAAAAACAATTTAAAATTTAATATATGCGTTAATTTTTGACATTTTAATTATTTTTATAAATATTTTAATTATTTTATAAATATTTTATAATTAATTAAATATTTTTGAAAATACGGATCAAAAAATTATTGATCCCGATGGAACAGAGCGGATCACGGATATCACTAAAATTTCGGATATCCATTCCGTACCTAGGCCTACTGTATCTGAATTGAGCATCAGTCAAATCACATCTTGCATATAATGTTATCATGAGGTTTCATCTGCAAATATTTTTAAGAAGAGGAATCTTACGCTAAATATTTGTTTAATGATTGATCATAGGTTGGTTACATTCCATCGGGACAAAGCTAGAGTTTAAATGAAGAGCTGGTTATTTGAATTAACCCAACAAATCATCAATTTCAAGCCTCGGATCATTGTGGTGAATTCTCTTTCTAGATAAACTTTTCATCGATGAATTTATATTGTTACCATTAATTTATATCTAAAGCACATGGAACAAGAAATAATCAAGAAATGCAAATCATTCCAAGAAATCAATTATTATTCTATTATCTTTTTTTGACAACTATTATTTTACTAGGTGATCGACATACACCACGTGCATGCTATAAAACATTAGATATGTTCAATTATGATTAGTATAATATTGAAAATACTTCATTTGTATATGATTAGTTATGTATTAATAATAAGATTATAAATATATAAAAATAAAAAAATAATAAATTAAATAAAAGATTCTATAGATTTCAAAAAAATGAAGATAAAAAAATATTATCTAAGATTTTAACATATTTCTTTAAATAAAAAAATATAAATATTATAACAAAATAAACAGAAAACATTAAAATTTATAATAATTTATTTAATTTTTATTTTTGGTATGCATGCATGTGCAGATATAATTTGTTTAGACATAATTAGTGGTAATATTTAAGTATTGATTAATTTTCTTATACATTATGTAAACGTTATATTTTTATACATATACAGTTTTAGTGTTCAACAACAATCACACAAACATTTTCTATCATTTTATGTCTTTTGAATTTTTTTATTTTTTCTAGTGTTTACAGTAACATATAATTACAAATGAAAAAGTTATATTAAAAATAATTAAATTCTTATAATCTGTTTTGAATATTATCTATACTATACTTTCTTTTTTTTCCTTACACAATATAATCTTGCTAATATATATATATATATATATATATATAATATTTTTTCTTTGACTTATTGCTAATTAAACAAAAATAAATTTTACCATATTTACTTATCCTAAGAGCGAGTAGATGGTTAGTCCGCACATTCGTCCGTACCAACCACCTCACCACTCTTAGGACATATATTTTGTTTAAAAAAAATTAAAATTATCTAACAACTAAAATTAAAATTAGAGTGTAATCGATGTTAACAAAATGTATGCACGACAAATTTACATGCAAGTTTGACTTTTGCACAATTAATATTTATATATACACGCACATTTGTAAGAAAACCGAAGTATGACTTTTATGTGTTAAAAGAAAATAACAAAGTATATGTTTTGTAAAATATATTTTTATAACATATGATTGATTTTTTTTTTAAAAAAAAATAATAAATATATTTATGCATGTAGGTTTGAGTTAAAAACAAGTAAATTGTAATATTTAGGCGTTGGTAAGTTTGTTCTGATATTTTCTGCAAACTTTATGTTTTTACATGATGCAGTTATTGGCGTTTAACAACAATCACGAAAACCGTTCTATTGTTTTGTATTTAATAAAAGTTTCTTATTTTTTAGCGTTTTATGATATATGGTTTCTAAATAAAAATATAATAAATATTTATTACAAAATTTGTGAAATTATAGTTTATAAAATTCTACGGTAGCTCCCCGCTCATCTCTTCAGCAATTTTTTTATAATCCACAATTGCTCTCTTCCACAAACTCTCTGTAACTGAATCGTTTAAACTAATCAGATCTAAACTTATATGTGTATGATTTAAGGTGTAAAATAATATATTTAATATTTAATTGTTATATTAAAAATTAAGTGTTGATATGTTCCTAACTTTAATATATTTGTCAATATAAAATATAATGGATCACAACATATACAAAACTTGATTCATAAAAATAATATTTTAATATGTTGGAAAAATATATGCATGAAAGAATTAATATTTGTAAAATAATATTTTTAAATATTTCAAATAAAAACATTAAATCGTTCAAAATCATTTTTTTTTTTTTTACTTCTTTGACTCATATTTTTTTCTTAACCTTTAATAATATATTTAACATTAAGATCATCTCAAATGTATTTTTGTTCTTCTAAAATATAAGTGGACTTTTCTCTAACCTATTTCTATTTTATAGAAAATTATTATTTTTCTTCTATAATTGAAAAAAAAAAGTAACAACCTTTATTTTTTCTCTAAATTCAAATATTTAAAATAAAGGTGAGTTGGAGATGCTTTAAATTTTTACATAAAACCAAAGTCATAAAGATTCATTTTTAGTTTTAATTTTACTTTTTATTCATATATACAGTATTATAATAAAAAAAGTTGGCTAAGAGAATACTTATAATTTATTTTTCTCTCTGTTTATTTTTTTGTTTTATTAATAATTTGGAATTCTTGCTATATAATGAGAATTTATTCACATATAAGATTTATTTAGTTTTAACTTAACCAATCAAAATATTTCGTTTATTTTAGGAAATTTGCCATGTCACATTTATGAAGTGGCATTGTTTTACACTAATTTTTTTTTAGGTGTTGACACATATAATTTTTTTAGTAAAAACGCTTCTCAAATAATAATTAGGATTAACTATGTAGACCTGCGTGTGTTGTTTTTATATAATTGTTTTTTTTAAAATGTGTTTGATATTCATAATAAATACAAAAAAATTAACATTAAAAATCTGACAAAGTGTATATTCATACATATACTTAAAAATATATAACGATAAAATCACCTAGTTATACTTAAAAATACAAAAAAGCATTATCAATTTTATTAAAGCGTTCTGATGAGTTTGTTCGATCAACATCCTAGAATTACACTTTTATTCCTTTGTCGAGTCATTGAGGACTTACCTTTGCCTCACTTTGTCGGTTTCTGCTTTACTATTATTAACAACTAGTATTTTGCCCCGTGCTATGCACGGGTATTAAAAGACCATACTTCGTATTATTATCCCATAAAAGATAGTTTTAAAAGTAAACTAAAGATATGAAATATTAAATCTAAAATATTCATACATATATAACAATAAATATATGTAGATAAATCTCAATCTGATTTAGTTACAAATTAATTAAGTTGGTGTTTTCTTAACTCTTTAGAAACGCATTGAAGTATAAGTTTATATTAGATTTACATATTTTTCTTCAATCGATTATATTCTTTTGTTTGTGACTAATATAGCTTGTAAGTTGTAACACAACATAGTTTGCAAAACATACTAACTTTTTCTATTGTTGTCTTTTTTTCTTTACAGCACTTTGTTAATTACATAAATCTTTGATGTTTATTATAACTGTAAGTAGTTTAATATATCTTGATAATAATATATTTTTATTTAAAATCTAATGTTCAAAGTACGTAATAATAAAATTTATTTGATTGTATATACAAATCACATATATGTCTCGGTCGTCCTTCCTCCAATTCAAATTCCTTTTTTGTTGTTGTCGTTTACATCTTTGTTATGAAGACAGTTCCATGAGACTCAGCTTAATCATTTGTTGTTGTTGTTGTCATCTTTTCTAGCTTGAACGTTTCTGACGTTTTACTTGTCTCCATGTTGTATGCGCCATTCTTTGCCATTGTTATCTCCTTTCTTATATCATAATGGTTGCTGCTGGTAATCATTTACCTTCAAACCAGAGAAAAACATAGTTAGATGAGAGTGGTGGGTTATTCTTACGTAAAGACATAGTATACCAAAGTCAAAAGCTAATGCAAATCATAAATAAACTAATTAAAAAAGGTTATAGGAGAAATAGGAGTTTGCATGTGGACTTGATTATCGATCCTTGAAAAACCAGATTTCAAAGTTATAAGTCACATACTTATCTTACGAAAACAAATCTGTTTTGAAACTGAGAACTATTCGCATTCCGAGCATGTATATCTCAATCAGTCAAATCTTTTGTCCTCAGATATATTCATGTAGCCGTTTGAGTAACAAACAAACATTGAGATTGGAAGTAAACCTCCTTCCTTTTATCAAGTTCACTAACTCAATTTTCTTTTTTGTATCCCTGATTCCCCGTATGTGAAAATATAAAAAAAAACATGTTCCTTTGATGCATCATGCCCCAAAATAAAATTAAAAAAAGTTACCGTTTTGTAGAAAAGTTCGAGCACTTGATAGTTGGTTCAGATTGCCACACTATCGTCTCTATGATTTGAGAAAAATAATACATGGCATTGTTATCTTTTCGAAAGAGTTTAGCCGGCAATAAGTGAGAGAAGAAGATTGTAAAAACTATTGTAGATTTTTTTTTTCTTTTGTAGCTAGAATAATAAAATGGACTTTGTTGTTTCAGTATTATCTGATTTGAAAGAAGCGGTGGTTTTACTTTTTAATACTGAAACTGCATAAGTTATGAAGT